GTTTATATCTATTTATTTTGTTTTGTTTTGTATATTTAATCTTGTACCAAGTTTGTGATACTTATGTGTACCAATGTATTTGTTGTGCCTCTTTCCTGATTCTTACATTTTTAATTATTATAATTACGGTCACCCAACTAGTTTAGCTTTTTAGTTATTTTGGGTGTCCCACTACTGTATGTACTGTACTGTTTATTTATATATTTATAATTACAACCTTGTAAATTCTTTTAGTTGTTTACAGTAGTAGAAATAAACTATTAACTGTTAACTGTTAAGTTAAATTCTGTTCTGTCCCTTTACAGAGTTGTGTTTGGTCCTGAGTTGGTTATGCTGTGTCCTGATGAACAGTTTACACAGCTCAGTCTGTCAGGAGGAAAACCAAAGAAACCCAATGTAATAAAGGCACTGTGTTTGCTTCTTGGCCCAGACTTCTGTACTGACATCGTCACAGTAGAGACTTCTGATCATGCTAGACTGCAGCTGCAGTTATCTTACAACTGGTAACTAGATTTATGTCATTGTGTACTACCAGGGAATTTCTCATAAGACACCCATCTCCCAGGAAGTCCTTATCCCTCCAGAGCTTCCAAATATCATATATACACTCCAGCCCCTCGGCAAACATTTATTTTTTCAAGAATTGTGTTAACGTTACAGCAAATGGGTAGTGTCAGTTTGTTGGTGATTTACTTCTAAGTTGCACATTAAATTACTTTTTTTTAACAGGCACTTTGAAGTTGGTGACAAGGGTCCAAAGGATGCTGCAAAATTGTTTTCTGTTCCAGATTTTGTCGGAGACGCTTGTAAAGCGATTGCTTCAAGGATACGTGGTGCAGTAGCTGGGGTCCAGTTTGATGACTTTCACAAGGTGTGTTTTAGACCGGCATTTTATTGTTTCATCAGTATCACAGCAGCCAGACAAGATAAGAAATAAGGAAACCGGGTGAATAACCTCACAGAACTTATATGGAACGTCAAAGGTTCTTAAAAGCATGCTAAAAGATAATAAGGATCTTTCAAAGATCATAGCAAAGATCTCGGCAAATTAAAACTCTTACTGATGCGTGAAAAAGGTTTCTTTAACTGGACTTTGTAGATCTGGAGCGCCTAAATTTCCTTCGTTCTTTCAAGTAATGAGAAATGGTGTTTTCGGATTTTATTGTTCATTGGACATCTCTTCTCTGTGATAATGATAGGTGGTTAGACTATTGTGCAGTTGTCATTTGGGGTCGTCACGCAGCGCTCCAAACTACGGCGACTACACAGGAGATGGCATTTAGAGGGATTATACACCACTTGCTAATGTTTCTTTTAACTGATTTTACATGTTATAGTTGCAGTCATCAACTTCTAAAGAATGAACATTTGCTTAAAGGTTATAAACGCAATCTCTACTTTGCAGAATTCAGCAAAGATCATCCGTACTTCAGTGTTTGGCATTGACGACAATCACAAAATTCGAAGCAAGTTTACTTTCCCCGCAAACAATCTGAACATAACAAGCATTGATATCCAATCTGTGGAGCCAGTAGATCAACGAACCAGAGATGCACTACAGAAGTCAGTCCAGTTAGCCATTGAGATTACAACTAATTCTCAAGAAGCTACAGCGAGGTGATTAGCCAATGATGATACTGTTTAACTAAATCACATGTGCAAACATGTAAATATACCACATATGAATGCCACAATGAGTTATATCACTGACTTGACTTCTCAATCAAAGGCCGCCTCTGGGCCCGGCTAGAATGTACGAGCAATAGCAGATATCTGACATATTGTAAACTTCACTCAGCTGCTGGCAAATATTCACCGTTTTGTGACAATGTATAGTGTGGGATGAACTCATCGCTAGATTCTTCGATGGTGTGGTAATCTTCGGGGCTGTTTTTTTTTCCTTTTTTTTTTTCATTTTGAATTCCAAAAAAGGAGTGAAACAGCATCTTGAAAATCTTGAAGTGAACTGAGAAGGTACACCATGCTGATTGCCTACTAATTTCACTTGTAATAAAAAGCAATGGACGCGTCCAACTCAACCAAAAATTCCGGTTTGCATTTTTGAAATTTTCGTATGTCATATGGAACGGTATTTTCCACCAGACATATAAACGGTTATCTGAGATATCGTTCCATTCCCGCTTGGGCGCATTTTCCGCTAAGATTTTCTCAGCAAAATGCTGGAGGACAATAGTGAAGTGCTTGTCTGTAGTGCCGCAGTAACGATTATTTTGAGCTAACTCTTCCGAGATATTTACCTGACAAATTCACGCATTATTTCCGTGTGATGAAAGACATCGTTGCGAACTTTTTTCTCGAGAGATTATGTAAACCGGGCAAATACCCACAGGAAATTTATCTGAACGACCAGCCCTTGTTCCAGAAAGCAGATCTTAGCGTTTTTTTTGGAGGATTAGGCGATCAAGGATCGGCTCGGACTGTGACAGACCTCAGGCAACATTCACGGCTAGAGAAACTAGGGCCGATTCATGCCAGATAGAAATGCCAGATGGAACAGAAAGTTCCATTTTCAGGAAAAAGGGACAACCTAAATTTTCGAAACGAGTTTACGGAAACTATCTTCCATCAATTTTGAACGGGAATTCCGGAAATTGTGGTCTAATGGAACGTGCGCAATGAGTTCAGGAATTAATTTGGTAATCTAATTCAACTAACAGGTCTTTCTTAACCTTTTAATCTTTTTTTAGTGTGTTAGATCAATTATTCTTCTATGTTTTCCTTCATCGAGTGAATTATTATATTGTAGCCTGCATAGCAGGCGTTTCCTAAAAAGCACGCGAAAGGAACGAGACTGCAAGCGGGTGCGAAAAATAGGAAGCACGCCTCCCGCTTCTCGCTTACCCCCTCTCCGCTTCTCTGTTTACCCCAGGCGCGCTCCTTCGCTCGCCCGCTTGCTTTGTTCGATCTCTCCGCCTAGAAAGGAAAGTGAAACGGCTGCTACGCAAGCTATCATAGCGGAGCTCCGGCGGCCTGAAGGGCCGCCAAGCGGAGCCCCATACTCATATAGGAGAGAAAAGGAAACCCATGAGTTGATTTTCTCATGGTCAT